TTATCATTTTATTTAATCGGTTCTCCGTGCTCTATGAAATTTGAAGTAAGCAATTTCTTTAACTCCATTGTCACAAATTCCATGACTTTTCCAAAACTTTGCAAGGTTTTGATAAATTCCATAACTTTTCAAGGCCCTTAAAATTTATTTTTTAAATTCCAAAACTTTTTCAGGATTCCATGAACTGCAGGAACCCTGATTTTAGTTATTTCAACATTTTTTAAAACTCCATCAATTAAATTCAAAATGTTTTTGGCAGAATTTGAAGAGTTTCGGAAAGGACCTTTCAAGGATTAACCTCAATGTTTTTAAACTCATGGAATGCTCACAGTGACATAAACACAAAAATCAAGGATTTCTAAAGAATGTATAAAACACATGTAATAGGCTATTCACCTGCCAAATGGTAGATGTAAATGTTACAGAGATTCTATTCTGGTTACAACATCTCATATATATATATATATATATATATATATATATATATATATATATATATATATATATATATATATATATATATATATCGATGCAATAAACTGACGAGGAACAGTACAAAATTAGTAACTAACTAGCCTAAGCACTTTCGACTCTTAATGAGTCTTTTTCAAAGGCAAATACAAAACATATATACGACAAACAAATAAACACAAAAACGTTGTGTTTGTAAACCTCTACATGGCTGTCTCCAAATGTGTTAAAACTATAAATACAACCAGCTTGTATAGACTAGTTGCGTCAACTGAAAACAAAAAACGGTGTATAATTCCCTAAAAGTCTACAAGCCAAAGCGACATCTATTTTTACTTTCTGTACATTTATGTAACGCAGATTATATCCCGGATATTTGATTCTATACCAGTTATTCTTATAGTAAAAATTGAAGGATAATAAGAAGATTTAGAAAATGTTAAATTCTACTAGTGTATAGTTTTCATTTTCTAGTCTTCTTAATTTAGACCGCATGGTTTCAATGTTCTAAGGCGGCATATCCAGTATGATTCCTTTTCCTTCCTGGTTTCGGAACTCCAGCTGTGGTTGTTAGCAATAGCAATAAGTATTATATCACTGAAAGTGTGGCCAGGGGAGTAGAAGTGTTCTGCAACCGGGCTTCTGTACAGCTTTTTTGTCATCCAATCAGATCTATGAAGGTTTATCCTTTTGTGTAGCTTTTCAGTTTCTCTGATGTACTGAAGGCCACAGATCTTACATGTGATGAGATAAATGACATTCTCTGTTTTGCACGTTTTGTTTGGACCATGTATATTTAGTTTTTCTTTAGTCACTGTGCTAGTGAATGTCTTGGTCTCTATCATATGTTGACAGGTTTTGCATCTATCATATGTTGACTAGGTTGATTTTGACTAGCAATTGGCATTAGCTTTGCCCTGACTAGAATGTCCTTTAGGTTTTTTTGGTCTCCGGTAAGCTACTACAGGTTTGTTCGGAAGTATTAGGTTTAGTATGTCTGACGATTGCACGGTTGGCCAGTGGTTTGTGATGATTTTACCTACTTTGGGATTGTCTGGGTGATAGGTCAGAATAAATGGTATCCTATCAACCTTTTCTTTCTGTCCATATCTGAGTAGGTCATCACGGTTTGTTTGTTTGGCCCTTTAGATTGCTCTGCAATCAGGTCTTTGTTGTAGCCTCAGTAAATTAAATGTTTAGCCAGCTCTTCAGACCTTTCTAGGAATCTATCATCATCGGAGCAAATTCTGCATATCCCAAGCTCAATGGAAAAGTGAAAAATGAATTTGTCTTCAAAAGATTCCTCTCAATTATCAACAAAACTGGTCAACGGATCTAAGAAAAATGAGGGTCTCTGGAAAGGACAGATGCTTTATTGACCAAAAAGTATTTCCACAAATCCATGATGAATTATTTTTAAACTACAATGCATTGAAACCTTCTCTGTTATTCTTTTGTCGTTTTAAAGATGTTCAAAATAAAAGCCACACTGGATGCAAGACTGGCTCAATTTCATTTAGAACCAACAAGATATAAACAAATCTTGTAGTAAAAATTCCATATCAATATAACGATCCATTCAGAAGGAATAATGATAAAAAAACTAACACCAAGGTGGCCATACTGGATGAAATTCAAACCCATTTTCATTCATGACCAGCTTTCTGTTGAATGCCATATAGCAACAGGACTTCCATTTAGGATGAGTAGCAATAACAAAATTTACAAGATGTCTGCCCCAAGGCAACCAAATTATGTCAGATCAGCACCATTTTTAACCAGATATAAGAAGTTTTTGTGAAACTACACATTGACATGATTACCCAACTAGATGTCATAAAAATTCTTTTGGTGAAAACCCCCGTGTCAATGTAACTTTCTGTTCTGGCAGAAAAGGAACAAGATTTCCAAGATGGCTGCCATTTATGACTATATTAGTTGTCAGATTATCACATTTTTTATTTAGGACCTACCATAAATAAGAAGTCTTTGTGAAACTCCATGTTGATATAACCATCCATTCAGGAGATGTAGCAATAACAAGATTTTCAAGAAAGACACATGGCAAACAGAATCAATGTCTGAGCAGTACCATTTTCATTCAGAAATAGATCTAAGGAACTTTCAAGGCAGTTCTTCAACAAGTTCAGGAGGTGTAGTGAAAATGAATCAATTTTTATGCATGCCAGAAAATAGATGAAAACTCATTACATAAGCTCTACTGATCTGTGACAAACAGAGACAACAAGGAAGTGAAAAACAAAAAACTTAATACAAACCTTCAATGACTATTACCTGTCTCTAAGGTAGGAACAAGTGCTGCAGAATTCCTTAGTTTCATTACCATTCATCCCATACATTAACAAACTTTAACAACAACAAAAAAAAGTTTTATTAAGGTGACCTTGACCTATAGTTCAGAAAAAAGTGAGTGTATTACAAAACTGTTGATACTGTCATAGCCAGCCATATTCAATATTCCTTCAATAAAGTGAATATGAACAAAAACAATGTCATGTAGAGAAAGGACTTTAAATAAGGTTATCAAGATACTGTTTTTATAGTTCATAAAATGTAATGTTTGGTAGATCCTCTTTTAGAAATTCATAAAATTTAATGTTTTGTTATTGAGTTTTAATTAAAAAAACATAGACATGATTTGGAATTTAATATCTGTTCAATGTGAAAGGCCAATATTAATTTTTCAATGTGCAGAGATAATGTATTTGTAATTATCCTGAAGTAAATAACAAGTAAAACTTACAGTTCCTTTCTAACCATATAACTGGTAGATAATAGAATAATTATTAATAGCAATTAGACAAAATATACAAAGATGCCATGGGCAAATATTTATGTACAAGGATGTACAGGTCAAATATTTACGTACAAGGATTACAGGGTATGTATATGGAGAAAGATTGTGACCAAAATGTACAGGTCAAGTATTTATGGAGAGAGGTTGTAACCAAAATGTAAAGGCAAGCATTTATAGAGAGAGGTTGTAACCAAAATGTAAAGGCAAGCATTTATGGAGAAAGGTTGTAACCAAAATGTAATGGGCAAGTATTTATGGAGAAAGGTTGTAACCAAAATGTAATGGGCAAGTATGTATGGAGAAAGGTTGTAACCAAAATGTAATGGGCAAGTATTTATGGAGAAACGTTGTAACCAAAATGTAATGGGCAAGTATTTATGGAGAAAGGTTGTAACCAAAATGTAAAGGCAAGCATTTATGGAGAGAGGTTGTAACCAAAATGCAAAGGCAAGCATTTATGGAGAGAGGTTGTAACCAAAATGTAATGGGCAAGTATTTATGGAGAAAGGTTGTAACCAAAATGTAAAGGCAAGCATTTATGGAGAGAGGTTGTAACCAAAATGTAATGGGCAAGTATTTATGGAGAAAGGTTGTAACCAAAATATAAAGGCAAGTATTTATGGAGAGAGGTTGTAACCAAAATGTAATGGGCAAGTATTTATGGAGAAAGGTTGTAACCAAAATGTAAAGACATGCATTTATGGAGAGAGGATGTGATCAAAATATACAGGGCAAGCATTTACAGAGAAAAGTTGTAACCAAACACATACAGGACAAATATTTATGTGCAAAGATGTACAGGTCAAGTACTGATGGAGAATGGTTGTGACCAAAGATCACGGGTCAAGTATTTATGGAGAAAGGTTGTGACCAAAGATGTACTGGGTAATGCTGTCAAAATCAAATATTAATAAAGGTGAAAATATAAGTGGGTCTTCATTTGTTTACCGATGAAAATAATACCTACTTTTGAAAGACAAGGCTCCAGCTGACTCAAGAAATGATGGCATTTTCACAATGAATATGAAATTTCAGTGTTTTCATCATGGCAAAAGTCATAACCCTCTTCTTCTCTGAAATGAAGACAAGACAATTGTCCAAAATAACAAACATTATGTGATGGTCTAACAAATCTAATATCGTAAACCCAATGACTACCAGACTGTAGGGTTGGACAACAATATCCTAAATTCAGTTAGCCCAATGTGTTATGGTTGTAATTCTTTTCTAATCAAAATGAGTGTGATAATGATTTTCAATGTTTCTTTAACAATCTTTCAGTCATATCGCTAAGATGTTTGCAGTATGGCAGTTTATAATGACGTCCAGCACTGGGGTATCATGCCAAAGACATGTATCATTTTGTACCACCTAGTCACATTATCCTGATGTTGTTGTTGGGTTTAACGCCATTTTAAGTACACGATAGGCTATTCATGGCGGCCAGTATTAATGGTGGAGGAAGAAACCGGGAAATCACCGGAAAGAACCACCCACCCACGAGAAGCTACTGGCAAGCTTTCTCACATATCCACATTCGCCGAATCGTAGACTCGAACCCACGCAGACAGCGGTGAGATGGCAGTGATCCGTAACGGACAGCGCTTTAGACTACTCGGCCACTCGGAGCCCCTATACTGACACTAGGCTGATCAGTCCTAACACTAACCTCTAAATGCTGAGCGCCTACCATTATTATAAGTCTTTGGTATGACTCTGCCAGGTTTCAAACCCATGACCTCCTGCATCCGAAGCGGATGTTCTAACCACTAAGCCACTGAAGAGGTCTTATGTAAATAACTACAATATTTTACTAAGTAGGATAATAATAGATAATTAAGAACAAAGATAAAAGGTTGGTCTAATGCCAGTAGTTTATTAATTGCCTTCTCTGGGATACCATGTTTAAGTGGTGCTATCAGTTTTGTCTAAAAAAAAACAACACTGGCTGCTTTTATCCATCTAAACACTAGCAGATGTAGTGTTAGAACTAGTTCACCTGATGTCAGGATAATGTGACTGGGTGGGACATCATGCTACATGTTTGCAGCATGATGCCCAGATGCTAGACATCACTATAAACTGCCACACTGCAGACATCGTAGTGATATGACTGAAAAATTGTTAAAGCTATGTTAAAAAAAATCACATCACATCACTAGGGGACAAAAACATAGGTCAATGCTCCCTCTAGGAAATCACCATGTATGCATACATGACAAGTTTCAAATCACTCATTAAAATATCAGGTACAAGTACATTTCATAATATTAAAACTTAAATTTTGACAATAGGTATTTTTCCAAAAATAAACAATTTTTGGAATTATTTGTGACAAAAACAGACAAAGCGCTATGAATGTCATTAAAATCAAAACATGATTACTAACTGAAACTACCCAAGTAACGATACAGTGGAAAAGTAATTTGGTAGATACCACCAGAAAAAAATACCATGGTATACTGGTAATACTATATACTTCTTATGAATTAGACCTTTTGTGGCGACTTTTATTTTTTTTTACCTTGGCTATGTTACAAGGTCAACATTTGTGCTCACCATATTTTTCAAAGAATCATTACAAGTTATGGACACAAGTTAGAAAAAGATCTGATGATCAGTCTTAAATTGGCAGCAGAAAAACATGCATGCCATTCTTAAAGACAAATGACTTCTGAAAATCTACTTCCAGTTTCTAAAAAGTAATTAAGAATTCTTTTGTATAATGAGAGGGAAAATGAATAAGAAAATATTTGTTTCAGATGTTGGTAAGTTATTAATTTATTGCAACATAAACTACTAATAGTGTAATACACACAAATTCATGCAGCAGTTTAATGAAATATTTATTCTGAAAACCAAATTTTATTCCGGTAATTAAGTAAAGGCATTACTACATAAGTAACTAGATACAGCAGACTGCAAAAAAAGCAGGGATGAAACACGTTTTTTTGGCTGACATTATATAAATACCAAAATTCTGCAAGTATTTTTTATGAGAATGGACATTGGTGTAACTTGGACAGATCATTTGGTTAATGTAACTGGGTCAGATCAGTTGGCTGATTCAGAATGGACACTACTATAAATGGAAAAGATCAGTTTATTATTGTAAAAGGGACAGATCCATTGGTAACTGGGACTTACACAATGGTTGACACGGAAGCCAAATCCTTGAACAAGCCTCAAGAACAATCCTTATATTAACAATGGATTATAGTTTCTTTAAACTCTGGCAAAAATCAGAAGAATGCAAAAGTCTCCAAAACCCATAACAAAATTAAAAAATTGGGTCACTGTATAATTTCAAGCAATACTTCTCTTAGATTATTCTATAGAGCAGAAGCTGATCCAAGGATCTGGCCTGTGACTGTAAGTTTTATCTGTGAATCAGAGGAGGTAGCTAAAAAAAATGCTAACCTGGGCCACACTTGGGGGATGTTGCCCATGCCTGCTGTAGAGGAATTTTATCTCCCATCTCCTATCAACTGCCTTGTACATTTGTACTCAGCCATCAGCTCAAAACATGTTAGTGCCTACTAGAGTTAGGGGACCTAATAGTGCCTACTACAGAGATAGGGGACCTAATAGTGACGATTACAGAGATAGGGGACCTAATAGGCTAGCCATCAGAAGATGTAACTTGCTCTTATAAACGAGTCATTCGTGATTAGTTTTTTTGCTCTTATGGAACGGTGTTCTTGATTGCTTCAACTGTTCCTTGGCGTCTTTGCTTCTGTCTGTATTTGCACCAGCTGACAAGTATAGATGCTAATTTTGTTTTCTCTTTGCAGTGGATAGGCCTATTGCTAAGCCATGACTAGCTGATAAAGCAGACTGAGAAAATTTCTGCATAATACTGCTTGTCCTTTGTAGCAAATGCACAAATCAGATATTAATGTAGCCAAAGATAGTTTGTACAATATGACATGCCATGATTATTTTATCTGAAATGCTCTCAGCATTTTATCAGAAGGGGCATCCCCCCTCACAAAAACGGTGTAAAAGAGAACAAAACTAAGGTGGAGGAGGAAATGGCCATATTTCAATATTTACATAAAACTTCAATATCCAATTCTTTCTTCCTGATCCACTCTATAAAGCCCCCAACCAAAATAAAAAACAATCTCTGATCCACTCTATAAAGCCCCCAACCAAAATAAAAAACAATCTTAAAAACATGTTGCCTTTAGTTGTATAAGTATTAATCTGTTCAGTGCTTCTCTGTTTAATCTGTTTCTTTTATGAATATTTTTCTGTACTGAGAAACTCATTTCACAGTTCACAGTTATTGTATGCTCCATAATGAGATTTTCCACTAACACAAGATCTGTCAAACTTTCTTGAATTAGAACTCTGCATACTGCTATGTGAGGTTTATGTTTTCATAATGCAATATCAGGATTTTAAGTCCATTAAGGTCATAGTCTACTTATTCAAAAAACAGTTATTTTAATCATATAAATATCCTTATTTATTAATTTTAATTTCTAGATTCTTATTTATCTGATTTATCTAAACCATTATGCTATAGCTATATGGTTTTGAAGCACATGATCCTGCAGTGCTACACTGTGATGAAAAAGGAAATATAAAGTGTACCCTACTTTTAAATTGTCTAATAATTTAGATTCCTGGTCTCCCTTTTCAACATCTAATTTTAAAATACTGCTGAAATGAGGGATTGGTCATCTTACCATCTGCTGTCCACCCTGCATGTACATTGGATTTGTATTTAACACCAATGTTTTGGTCAGAATCACTCACTAGTATCACCATTAATACTTTCACAGCTCCTATCATCTGATGTACATCCTAACTTTAAAAATAAATTGCATTCATTATTATGATCTGTCAGCATTTACTGAACGATAATAACCCTCATTTTGAAATGAGAAACACTGAGTATTGGCCGTCTCAGATTTTCTAGATGGCCTGTACTAGACACATTCATTTGCCAAATTCCTGATGCAAGTTTCACAACACAATTTTTGTTACAGGACCCAATGTAACAATCAAATTTAGCTTAACAACCATTCATGTCAAGATGAAGAAGTCAAATGTGTAAACAGTTACAAAAAATTACATAACTCAACAATTCTGCAATATTTCTACCATTATATATGCACATTATGGGTGCATGGCTGAATAAAGTTGTATATTGTGCAGAGAAAATCTTGAAATTAATTGTCTGGAGTTCTCGTGAATCACTGCTTTCTAAGAGTGCAAATTCATTTAAGCTTTGTGTGAATCATGTGACTGCATGCCCTGGGAACATCTATGTGCTACTGATATGCATTATTTATTTTTAGAATTAGTTGTCCTGTTCAACCATAAAACAAAGTTTTTCTAGTAAAATATGTTTCTCCAATAATAATTACTAATCAAAATACTACAACCACCTCACAACTCCAGCCATTCAGCTAGAATAAAAAGCTTCTGCAGCAAAATGTCTGGCCACAGGTGGCAGTCAGAGTGATCTCCCTGGACACAGAGATTGGCATTATATATATAGTGTGTATGACAGCTAGTAATGTGATGGAATGGAAGCTTCCATAGTATGATGTAACTGCAGGAAGGCTGTGAGGGTATATCTGTATTATGACTGGATAAGTAAAACATTTTATTCTGGTTTCTTCAAATACATTACTCACTCATAATACGGAAGATGAGGTGAAGAGAATTGCATCCCTTGTATCAGAGAAGTCATCTCTGGTCCCACAAATCATCATTGTCCAATTAGCATCATTTAGACATTAATATTCATCAGATAATATTAAAGGTCTGTTGGGTGACTTGGGGGTGGGGTGGGGCCAGGTTTAAAACTGTTGTCAATTATTGATGGAAGTCATTGTAATGGGTTTAGAAAACCCTGCTTGCAATTTTTGAGTCCGAAGTCATATGGCTGATATATTAACCAATCAGACAAGTGTTCAATGCATTTTACCTAGTCCTTAACCTAATTAAATTCTAAACTGACAACTGTATAAAAATGAAGATGTAAATAAGTACAGTGAAGTTACCATGACTGCAATTGCTTGTGAATATAATTCAATTTATTGAAAACCACTTAGGGAAAACATAACCATTTATTAGCTTGCTTTCATGGAGAAAACTGGGACATCTTTCTGTAATTTTCTACTGCTGTGTGGAAATTGATCAAACATAATGCAAAGGTTGTCTCGGATGTTTCTGGGAATAGGTCACAAGTTAAAAACTGGTGATTTTTTTTACAATGATTTCTTTCAAATTCTGTCATTTGCAATCAAATATTTTTATGCCACAAATAAAATACATTGATTAGAAATCATTATTAACATCAAGATGAAGATGATTTCCAGTTGAATATTATTAACTTGTGAATACTTACTGAATACTTTGAAAAGCTGCTCATCACAAATCATATATCTTCTATCCTCAGGATCCTGAAAAATACAAGATGATTCCTGCGGCTAAAAAGAATTCTGAATGGGAATCAAGTGTGTTGTGTTGATCAAATTAGATGCATAATATACAATTAGGAATAAGTGTGTTATGTTAATCAAATTCCATGTGGAATCAAATTTGCTGACAGATAAGAGCAGATACATTGATTCATATATACTTTTATCAACAAATCAGGCACATGGGCACAAATGATAAAAATATCTGATTCAATGACATAATGTTATCTAAAAATGAAATTTACTCATGAAAAATGGTGGTTACACTGTTGGTTTTATTAGCTACACTTGAACACAGGTGATAAAAATATATGAGATTTACATTGTTACAGTTTTATCAGCTTT